GGATAACCAGCCATCACCATACCAAATTTTATCAAAATCCCTTCAGTACTTTTTCTGTGATGCGGTAACAGACAGACAGACAGACAGACAAAAATTCTAAAAACCATTCAACCAGATTCAGCCTCTGTATCGATAATAATGTTTACTTTAATAAGATTTTCCAAAAAATATTTAATGTATAGATTCAGCTTGGTTACAATTTTATTATGTATAGATTTATAGATAATTATTTCCCCGCTCCTATAGGCCGGAGTGAGTGTTTTATAAAAAATAGTTTCAAAGAAAAGCGCGCCCAAACAAACAAAAATGACCAATTTTTGAGCTTTATACGTTTAGTTTATTGCTTATTTATCTGAAAAACTAAAAACTGCTGCTACTCTTGTATGATGCGAGGTTAAAAGGACGAATGAAAATTAGAAATATATACTTTTTTTTAAACAAAAATACAATAATATTATAAACCTATTTGCAATAAGAATCACTAAAATCGATTCAAAATATATTTTAAGAGAAAATATATTTTCTCTTTCTACTTTTTTGAAGACTCAAAAATTTACACTTTGTAGCTTTTACGGTTCAAACTTCTCCTTAGCAACATATTTTCAAAACGTATTCAGTATACAACTCTATCCAGTTATAATTTCATTAAGCGTATAAATTTGACGCATGCTTGGCTCAGTTTGTAGTGACCCTACTGGCTGCGCCAACGGTCGCGGGTTCGAGTCCCGTTGGGGGCATTCGTTTGTGTGATGAGCACGAATGTTTGTACTCCAGTCATGGGTGTTTATATTTATAATATATATGTATTTAAAGTTATATATGTATAATGTATCAAATATCTGGTATCCATAGCACAAGCCTCGTAACTTACCGTGGAACTAGATGGAGTTGTGTGTTAATGTCCTGACATGTCCTGACATAAATTAAGGTCACAAAACGAACATGCTAAATAGCATGTTCGTTTTGTGAATAATGAAAGTAAATACTTAGCAATAAAGACTTTACGCGTACTCGGAATTCAATAAAACATTTTACTCGTAAGTATTACGATCTAATAAATATGCCGAGGGTCGTGAAGTATCTTCTTATAGGATCTTATGGATATCAAGAGCATTGCATATGCATAAATTTATTTCTAAATCTATACTAATATAATAAAAAGGTGTGTGAGATTGTGAGTTTGTGACGTTGTAGGGGGTAATCTCTGGATCTACTGAACTGATTTAGATGAAATTTGGTAAGAAGATAGTTTGAGATCCTGGGAAGGACATAGGGTTTTTATCCCGGAAATCATCCCTTAAAAGGGTGAAAATGGGGATGAACGTTTGTATGGGGATTCAAGCTATACCACGTCGGTGGCAATCAGGCATGCGGCCCGCCTGATGGTAAGCGGTTACCGCAGCCTATGGACGCCTGCAACACCTTGGGCATCACATGCGCGTTGCTGACCCTTTAAAAACCTATTTACTCCCCTTTTGAAGGACCCCATACTGTAGCCCTCTGGGAAAACCTCGGCAGGGAGTTCATTCCACAGCGAGATGGTCCGTGGGAGAAAGTTCCTCTGAAACCGAACTGTACGGGAACATTTGGGCTGCAATGTGTGAGCATGAACTCGCTGTCGATGGCGAGCGGTGCGGTGATAGAAAGTGGCCGTGGGCATCATTTCGAACAATTCTTCGGAACACAACCCATTGTACAAACGATAGAGCACACATAGGGACGCAAAATCTCTTCTTAGACTTAGGGGCTCTATATCGCTTGTGAGTATTGGATCGTTGACAATTCTCACAGCTCTCCTCTGAACCGAGTCAAAAGGCCCAAGCTGGTATGCCGGTGCTCCCGCCCAGAGATGCGAGCAGTACTCCATATGGGGACGGACTTGCGATTTATATAAAAGCAGTCTTTGTCCCGGGGTGAAGTACCGCTTCGCTCTATTAAGCACACCTAGCTTTTTGGATGCCAGCTTGACCTTGTCTTCCAGGTGACTTCGGAACTGGACATCGCTGGATATGTCGACACCAAGAATACCAATACTGTTGGAGATGGTTAGGGGTGTGTCCTGAAATTGAGGGGCCACAGTAAATGGGGTTTTCTTAGCGGTGAACGCACAAACTTGTGTCTTGGAGGGGTTAAATTGGACTAAATTGTCCCGACCCCAATCGGAGACTCTGGAAAGAATACTCTCGATTTGAGACACAAGTTGTTCGCGACTTTCTACCACAGCGGAGCGAGGGATGTTTGCACGGCCTGTGTAGAAAGCGTCTCCAGTGCTGTCGTCCGCATAGCAATGAATGCCATCAATAGACAGCAAGTCATTGATATGCAGAAGGAAAAGCGTTGGAGACAGCACAGAACCTTGCGGGACGCCAGCGTTTATATCTAGTTTTTCCGAGCAGCAGCCATCAACGACGACTCTGATGGATCGACCAGATAAAAAGCTGGCAACCCATTAGCACAAGCCCTCGGGTAGTCCGTACGATGGCAACTTCGAGAGAAAACCCCGGTGCCAGATCCGATCGAACGCCTTTGCTATATCTAGGCTAACTGCCAACGCCTCACCTTGACTCTCGATGGCTGAAGCCCACCGGTGTGTCAGATACACTAGAAGGTCACCAGTCGAGCGACCGTGGCGAAAGCCGTATTGCCGGTCGCTGATCAAATCGTGTTCCTCTAGGTATCTGAGGAGCTTGGTATTAATAACACGCTCCATAACCTTGGAGAGAAGAGAGGTAATAGCGATAGGCCTGTAATTCGATGGGTCTGATCTATCGCCCTTTTTGGGCACCGGGTGCACATGGGCGGTCTTCCACGAAGACGGTACTTGCCTAGATTGGTAGGAAAGTGCGAAAAGTCGCGTTAGTACAGGGCACAACTCAGGAGCACACTGTTTGAGTACCACTGCTGGTATGCCGTCGGGCCCACTCGACTTATGAACATCAAGACTTAGCAGCTCCCGCCGGACATCTCTTTGTGAGAAATTTATTTCCGGCATGGAAAACGTCTTACTCTCGTTTCGATCGGGTGCCTCCCTGGATACGTTTGAATTTTTTTGAGGGGCATCCTAATTCTTTTACACAAATAAAAGTAGCCTATGTTACTCCTTATAACATCAGCTATCTGCCAGTGAAATCCTGTCAAAATCCAGTTTTGGAGATTAGCCGGAACAAACAGACAGGCAGACAAAAGTTTTAGGCATTGTGGTTTCCTTATAAGTACCGTATTTAATTTGAGTATATATTAAGAAAAAATTTGACAATGTCAATACAAAATTTATTGTGTAATCGAAATTTATTTTAAAATATATCCAAAAATAACATTAATAATTGAATCAATAGTATAAAAAATGTTTTAAAACACAACAAAATCGAAAGTGCATAATATTTAACACCATTCAGACAAAGAAAGACAATAGCATTCCCAAGGAGGGTTGACGTCAGGCAGGCGGCCGGTCGTAAAACTTTTGCCAAATCCTATCAGCAGTACACTGAAGATGTACTGCGCCGACCCCAAGTGATTTGGGAAATGGGCAGGGAGAAGAAGAAGAAGAAGAGTAAAAAGCTTTTATTTTGACATTATAAACAAACATTTCAATTTTATTTATCTGAAGGTATAGGTAAAAAAGGTACATCGACTAAGTCATATAAAGTAATACACGCCCTTAGGCTTGATTTATTTGTATCATTATGGGGCCTTTGAGGTAACTTAATTATTAGAAAAAAACTTTTCGAATTAAAATTCGATTCATAATTGGCCAAAAAATCGATTAAACACAAAAAAATATTCAGCTAAATTAAGTTAACAGTTTTAAGTTAATCGAAATAGAAATGTCTGTATATGATAGAGCAAAATAACTATTATACAAAACTTAATTGTTGAATAAGAAATATTTCTGTCTGTCTGTTTCTATAAAGAAAAATCGGTGGCTAGAAAATTCGGTTAGCAATATTATAGGGTACTTTTTATTCCAGGCAAGTAAAATTCTTCTCACGGGCTTGAGAATAGACGTTTAATGAGTATTTTTGCCATTGTTGTCATTGTTAATCTTTATTTATGAAAATACTATTATTCTGTATAGAAATACATAAACTATTTACGTATTTTGATAAGTATATATATAATTTAATAGTTAAAAGACCTAACAGTAACTAACAGTGGGGATTTATTTATGTACATAAAAAAATTAAAACTATTGCAATAATAAATTATATTATTATATGTAAAACTATTAAATAGGCTATTACTCTAAGAAAATAGTATAAAGGAGTGTTTACTTCGATATATTTACACACGGACGACTATTCACACTCGCTAGCTGACATTGCTTAGTCTGCCGGACGTCATGGGTTCGATAACAGCACAAGGCAATTCTTAATTATACAGTAAGTTAAATGTTATTTTTTCTTTGTTTTGTTTTTAGGATCGACGTGTTTTTTTTATATAGAGAATAGAGATATTTGTTGGCTACATGGTGACTATATATTATTTTTATTTAGTAATAAAACATTCGAAAATGTTTTACATGTTAAGTGATTTTACTGCTCCATTTGAATTTAGCTTGTAAAGATTTCAATTAGATAGATCAAACTCTATCAAAAATAGAACCCACACCTACCTACTTTGTAGGCAATGTCAGCTATTAATGCAACATGATAACCTTCATCGATTCTCATAGTATAATTATTTTCTCTTCATTTTTTAGTACATACCAAATTACAATATTGTATTAATCTACAAAAAAAAAAAATATATAGAAATAATTACTCTAAAACGTAAAGATAACTTTTAAAAGCGAACTTTTTTTCAACTGTCACGATTTCTTAACTTATAACGATATGACGTAAGTTATTTAAGCACATTCTAAGAAAACTAAGAGTTTATATTAGCCAGGCGACACGACTTCCCTTTTCACGTTTGTCAGGGGTTGGTTCATCTAACCCGGGGGCTGGGAGAGGGGCCTCACTTATCCGTCTTCGGACAAGGGGGCCCGCAGGCTCTTGTCATGCAGTATAGTCGATCCTAGCACATATAACCGCGCTAAGTAGAGTGGCTATTGCAAGAGCAATTTGAACACTTGCTATGACGATCAGGTCGCGTGAGGAAGGCTTCGATTCTTCTTCAGGACCGTCGCTGTAAATAATAAATGTGTTATATATTTTTAGAAATAAAGTCATATATGAATATAGAGTTTAGTTTTTTTTTCTTTATTGTCATTTAAAGTTTGATATATTTTTTTAATTTTTTTTTACATTAAACACCACTGAGGTTTATGTAATGTTAATTATTCAGTACTAAATTGTCCAAATTTAAACCAAAGAGGATAATTAATGTTAAGACTGGTTCTAGGTAGCTGCGAGTTATTTTAGATAAAAATACAGTATCAGGGCGACCGAACGCCGCTCGGCGCTTTGTAAATTCGTGTTTTTTTTTCGAAAAAGATGTAAGAAATTTTTTTTTTAGAAAATACACCTACCTACTATAAAGGCACGCCTTAAAGCCATTAAAGGAAAGAACTAACTAACTATCTACTATAAAGAGATAGAAACATAAAAAGCAAAAACTTATATTAACACAAAGTTTGATCCAAATCGTTATAGCTGTTTTAGAAATTTATATGTATACAAGAATTGCTCATTTAACATTATAAAATAATTGGCAATTGCTTTATTTCATTTTTTTTTAATTTTATTATATATATTTTTTTTTTATTTATTATATATAAGTGTGATTATTTAACTTACTCTATAACAATCATTATATTATATTATATCTTACCCATGATCAAATCCAGGTGGATCGAGTATCGTTCTTGAGCACTGTACTATCAGAGTTATCAGAAGACATCCCGAGGCAGTCCATAGCACCGCTGCCGTCGCGCCCGCGCTCGCACCACTTGTTCCACCCCAACCTCGTGATGTATGTATTGATACGGCTGTATGAAAATTAAATATATTGTAATTTATTTTTGATGCTCCCGACCGATTTTAGCCACGGCAGAAAATCTCGAGACTAGCCTAGCTAGAAGATATATAGTCCACAAGTGTTCGCGCACACAACAGCACTCTGTATTCTTTTACAAGTGCAGGACCGACGGGATTACTTGCTCTCAGAGGTACAGGATGCTGTTACTGGGGCTTTCTTTACAGAAAGATTCAATAACTAAACTTGGCTCAACTCGGGACTCGAACTCAGGACCTTCGGATATAATCCACTACATCACTGAAGCAGTTAAATTCATTTTTAAAATAGTTATCACGCTGGCCAAGTGTAGTTTGGCGGACTTCACATGCCTTTTCAAAACTTGCTAAGTTCTCTCAGACATGCAGGTTTTCTCACAATGTTTTCTTTCACCGTTAAGACAAGTGGCAATCATGTTGGAAATGATTCGCACATGAAAATATAAGAGGTACGAGACCCGGGACTTGAACTCGCTTCACTCGGTTTCCCAAGCGAGCACATTACCGCTGGGCTACAACTGTCTTATAACTGCTTTAGTCTCAATTACTCAATAATTTTCAGAAAAATACCCCTACCCCTAAGGACAGAGCAATAGTTTTTAAAGTAAATATCTTAAACAGTAATTATCTTAAAAGTAGAGTGCAAGTTTTGAAACAAGCCAGTCAAGATTGATAAAAATCTGTAACTAAAACTTACTCCAACTCTATCTAACTATTGCTTTGAATTTGTGCCTTAATTGAGAGCTGTATAAGAGAAGCGTTTAACAAAGTTTCTTGTATTATACTCGTACATATACAAATAGATACCTACGAGTTGGATGAGTCCGTAGATACGCGGATTTCGCAATTTCATAAGATTATTTTTGTGCAAAACCCTAATTCTTTTTCGAAAACAAAAGTAGTCTTAGTTAATCTTTGTTATATCGTTATCTGCCAGTGAAAGTCCCATCAAAATCGGGCCAGCAGACAGACAAAAAATTTAAAAACTATTTTTTTCTTATAGTACCTACCGTATACTTTTATATGCATCTAGTAAAAAGCTGTTATTTGCTTCATATATCTGTACTAATAATACTTGCGCAAAACTTGTACACAAATTCTGTACTTTACTTAACACTTTATATTATTATTATTAATTATTACAAAATTACCTTTTTTAACTATATCTCTTTCAAACTTTATTTAATCAGCCATTAAGGCTTAAAGTGAAAAGCTAAAGAAAAAAAAACAAAGACGTTTTCGCAGTACCTATTAAGTTATTATTTAAGACTAAGACTAGCATTGCCCGCGATATATTAGTATATATTAGTATACTTTTACAAAGCAGTTTTTGTATTTTTTCTCAAAAATGAGACATTTTCCCGCGGTAAAAAGTATCCTATATGTTGACCCAGATAACCAGCTATCACCATACCAAATTTCATCAAAATCCCTCCAGTGTTTTTCCGTGATGCGGTAACAGACAGACAGACAGACAGACAAAAATTCTAAAACCTATAGATTCGGCCTCTGTATCGATAATAATGTCTATTGCAATAAGATTTTCCAAAAAATATTTAATGTACAAATTCGGCTTAGTTACAATTTTATTATATGTATAGATGACTTTAAAGTGTTTTGTCTTTATTTTAAGATATTTCTATCCAAATATTTTTGATATCTCGTCTCGTTAAAAGTTTTTAATTATATAGCTATGTTCACGGCTCTTTTAAAAATCTAGTAGAAGGTATATTTATTAACTTTAATATAATATTTTAATGATGCAGTAAAATGTGGTCTTTCTTACATTTTTATAAGATAATAATTATTTATAATTAGCCACAGGCTAATTCGTTCATGAACATAATATAAAAAAAGTTTTTAATGGCGCTTGTTACGTTAAAAGTAAATTTGTTTATAAATACATCATTTAATTTTTAATCGTCTTATTCTTGCTCATAAATATAAGTGATTCTAACACCTTACACATTTTATTGTACTAAATTAATTATATATTATGTAGTGTATTTGATTATCGCAGTAATAATTATTTACTGAAATTAACTTCTTAGGACTTATCTATACATATAATAAAATTGTAACTAAGCCGAATCTGTACATGAAATATTTTTTGGAAAATCTGATTGAAATAGATATTATTATCGATACAGAGACCGAATCTATAGTTTTCAGAATTTTTGTCTGTCTGTCTGTTACCACATCTAGCTAGATAGCTGCTTATCCGGGTCAACAGATAGTCAACTTTTTACCGCGGGAAAATGTCTCATTTCTGAGAAAAAATGCAAAAACTGCATTGTAAGATTAGACTAATATGTAAAACCTATGAATTTGCTTTTTTTGGTCATCTGAACGCAGGCGGAGCCGCGGGCAATGCTAGTATCTTGATAAAATGAACAAATGCCACGAAATAAATAAAATGTATTACTAAAAAGTGTACTATGCAATGCACAGTGTAAAATCAAGACACGTACAAGAATTTCGATATGCATAGTAATATAACGTATTTTTCAACTATGGTCTGCTATTGAAAATTGCACTTGCTATTTAAATAGATGAATAACGCATGAGATAGCCAATTTGGATTTCCGCCAGGCTCGTCGACAGATGGTACTGTGTTGTATATAAAGCTTCTGTTGCTATTTGCAGCGTGTTACGCCTATATTTGCATGAACCTTAGTGTAGAACGAAATGATATGTACAATTTTCATTTAACTTTTGAAATTTCATTCCAGCCATAAGTAACAAATATACATAAATATATGTACATAAACATACATACGAACATACACACATGCACGCATACACGCACACACACGCATGCGTACATACGCATACACACATACACACTTTTACACTTTTAATAGAAGTGCGATAGTTTTCCTTTACCTACTTCCAGACCCGAGATCTCAGGATACACGTAATATAATACAATAACACTTGTTAAGAAACTTACCCGCCGCTAAAACACTAAAGCTTCCAGCGGGAATGCCAAGTCCCATGTTGAATTTCTGTCTCTCTTCTATAAAAGCTACACTGCCCATCACCATTGTGGAAATACCACATACAATCTGCAACAATAGATTACATATTAGAAAAATATTGGTTAAGCGTGACTTGAGTAGAGTCAGACTCCTCTGAATGAAAGTTTCATACAATTAGGTATAGGATTTCAGAAAGTTTATAGAATTTCTTATATTTAGATTTTACACTCAATAGCTTCTTAGATAAATAGCGCAATTATTTTTCGTACATTATCTTCCATATTTTTATAAAGTTTGCACTATTTATAGTTTGTTTGTTACAACATGATAACGTTCCACGTTGCCTAAGGTATAGAGAGGCTTAATTTCATTCCAATACATAGTCCATTCCTATTGGATATCACTACAGTGCAAATGCTAGGATCTATTGTGCGGGATGAGCTTAGGGATGTAGTTCTGCAATCAGACTAATATGACTTGTGATGACTCGTGACGTGATGACTTTCCACTACTGTGGCCAATTAATCTATACATATAATAAAATTGTAACTAAACCGAATCTGCATATTAGATATTGTTTGGAAAATCTTATTGAAATAGACATTATTATAGATACAGAGGCCGAATCTATAGTTTTGAGAATTTTTGTTTGTCTGTCTATCTGTCTGTTACCGCCTTACGGAAAAACCACTGGAGGGATTTTGATAAAATTTGGTATGGTGGTAGCTGGTTATCCGGGTCAACATATAAGTTACTTTTTACCGCGAGAAAATATCTAATTTCTGAGAAAAAATACAAAAAATGCATTGTGAGAGTATACTAATATGTAAAATGTAAGAAATTGGGTTTTTGGTATTCTGCACGCGGGCGGAGCCGCGGGCAATGCTAGTTACTAAATAAATGCTTCTTAACTATACATATAATAAAATTCTGAGTCGAATCTATATATTAAATATTGTTTGGAAAATCTTATTGAAATAGTCATTATTATCGATAGAGACCGAATCTATAGTTTTTAGAATCTTGTTATTTTGTTTGTCTGTCTTGGAACGCATTACGAGAAAACTACAAAATCTGTCCAGATTTTAATGAAATTTGATATAATGATAGCTTTTTATTCTGGTCAGTATATAGGATTCTTTTTACTGCAGGAAAATACCCCATATCTGAGAAATCTATACTAACCGCTAAACGTATCTAAGGACGAGTATTTTAATAAATTCTTATTCAGTACTGAACGAAGTCGTAAAGCTACTAACTAGCAAAAAAACGTTGTATTTAAATTTTTCTATATTCTTTTTCAGAAATAAGTTGAAAGTGTACACTTGCACTTATTAAACTTCAAAAAAATCGTTAGGTAAATCGTTTAACAATAATAATTTATTCAAGCTTACGAAAATCCAATTGGAAAGTCTTCATCATTGTACCAAATAATTTAATTAATAATAAAATATTCTCTTGCGTCCAATTAAGTGAAGCAATAAATAACTGGAGTAAAGCCACCCATTTATATTCATATATTTAATGAGCTTTTCTTTATTATGTATAATATAATGTTTTTATTAATCTGTAATAAGTTTATTTCATATTTGTATATAAAATTGTAACGAACCGCCTTCGTTTTGTTATCGCATATTCATACTAATATTATAATTGTGAAAGTGTGTTTGTTTGTTTGTTTGTTTGTTTGTTTGTTTGTTTGTTTGTTTGTTTGTTTGTTTGTTTGTCCTTCTTTCTTGTCGAAACGGAGTGATGGTTTGGCGTGATTTTTTGTGTGGATATAGTTGGAGGGCTGGAGAGTGACATAACCTAACACTTTTTACTGCGGGAGATTATCTAATTCCCACGGGAAAACACGTTATAGTACAATTCAAAAAAATATTTATGATCAGAATTACTTGAAACTTGGTATTAATGCTCTTCAATAAAATTAAATAAGTACGTGTTTTAGGATTTTTTGAAATTCTATATATAATGGGATATAGAAGGGGGTAAAATAAGGGATGAAAGTTTGTGTGAAACTACCTTTTTATAGATTTATTTGTAGTTGTAGCGTGAGCGAAGCCGAGGGTTTTGCTAGTATATACATCCTTCAAAATCTATTGCATTATTATATGCTTATAACGTGTTAATACTTAACTATAATACATGTCGGTACTAGTTAGTATATATGTCTTTTGATTAAATGCTACGTTTCTTATATTTTTTTTTGTTTGTTAATCGTCTTTTTCATGAAATACGAGTATTTGTATGTTCCGAGATAAAGTGACATCGAAAAAGTAGTGTAAGCGTAAAAGGACCAAGTTACAAAAACACATATTGATGATTTTAGATAATATTTATGGTGATAAAGTGTGTTTTGTGTGTCTCGTTGGTAAAGCCAGTTCTTCTGTATATGTGTCACACACATTTCTTTTTAGAAACAACACAAATTACACACAATTAGTACAATTATTACAATTAGAAATGAAGATTTATGGTGACAATGTCATCAAAAATCCGGTATACAAAGAGAGAGAGAGAGAAGAGGGCAGAATGATGCAAAAGTGGCTATCAACCTGCTGGTAGAATATTAGGTGGTCACTAGTCGACTAATTAGCATCTGGAGAAGGTTCGTAGAGGCGGGAGAAGATTATTATCATTATAAGTGCGAAAATATGTACGAGTATACTCCTTATTTATTTAACTCTCAAAGGTCGATGGGACGGGATAAGTTCATTTTCACACAGAATTAATTATTATTGGTATACAGTAATAGGCGGAGACTACAGAGGGATAAATGTTATTAATTAATTAAAATTTATCCTATATGTTATTCAGACTGACTAAAATATTTGCTCGTCCAATTCAATATATCTCTCAAAGGAATTTCTATGGAATACATAGCATTGTCTAATTCAACCAATAAGTAAAGTATTTTATTGAGTTTCGTCGACACACCTAGTTGAAGATAGCTAAATATAGTATATAAATCGAGAGGTTTCATTCAATTTACTACTTCTCTTCAAGGTAAAATTTTTATTTCTTAACTAGTGATTTACCCTCGCTTCGCTCGTTTTAAATAGATACAAACAGTTATTGCGAGTGTACCTTAGAAGAAAAACTTATACTGTTGTAGATTTTTCTATAGGCCTTATTAAGAACTACAATTTTCCAGTACATTGTTTTGTATCTCTTAAGGTTTAGCCAGCGTTTGCGGAATAAATTTCTAAGGACGACTGGATAGAATCAGTATTTTCCCGTGGGAATGAATATTTTTCTGTAGTAAAAAATATCCTGAATGTTAACCCGAGTAATAAGGACTACACAAAGTTTTGTCAAAATCGGTTCAGTACTTTTTGCGTGACAAGCGAACACACATACGGACAAACAGACATACAGACAAACAGACACATTTTTAATAACTATTGTTTTGGGGTCTATATTCTGTACAAAAGTCATAGTCATTGTTTTAAAAAAATAAAAGATGTTCAGATTTCGCTAACTTACTGTTTTATTATATATATTTATGGACAGACTATTTAAAGAAAAATTATTCTCGCAGAGTGTCATTTCACCTTATATAATATACTAGCATTGCCCGCGGCTCCGCCCGCGTTCAGATGACCAAAAACCAAATTCTTAGGCTTTGCATAGTATTAGTTATAGGTACTCTTACAATGAAGTTTCTGTATTTTTTCTCAGAAATGACATATTTTCCCGCGTTAAAAAGTATCCTATATGTTGACCCGGATAACCAGCTATCATCATACCAAATTTCATCAAAATCTGTCCAGTGGTTTTCTCGTGATGCGGTAACAGACACAGAAAGACAGACAGACAGACAGACAAAAAATCTAAAAACTATAGATTCGGACTCTGTATCAATAATAATGTCTATTTCAATTAGATTTTCCAAAAAAATATTTAATGTACAGATTCGACTTTGTTACAATTTTATTATATGTATAGATATATAAAACTGGGTCACCAATTACAGTTTCGTCTTTGTTCGTTACGGCTGCTTTGCTACGTTTAACTTTAAAAGTTTGTCGTTTTCCATTTATTTCTACAAAACTTTTAACTGTTTGTAGTGTGGACTAGTTGTTATACGTACAATATAGCTTATTTTTCTGTTGATAGTTTTACCACTTGAGTAGATATGAATTCAGAAACATGGTCACTGGATATTACTTTGGATGTGGACGTTTTATATTGAGCAGATCTCATTGTTACATTCTATCGATGATGACGGTACAAATATATAATGTATAGAATTTCCTATACGATTTTGAACATATTTTATACGGATAATGATTTCCTTTAGGTAATAAATTATTATTATGCATTTTAAATATACTCGCAGATATGTATTTGTGTATGTAGTAGTTTGTACATATGTTATGGTATATAGTATGTATGATGTTTTATTATATGTATATATTATATATTTATTTAAGTATTTATATTTGAGTAACTGCACATTAGCCTGCTTTTTAATACTATCTCTCCAACTCACTTAGGTTGACTGGAAGAGATCTCTTCTAGAGATAAGTCCACCTTTGCTAACTAATTTTATTGTTTTTTAATCTCTGTACTATACATATAAGTGCAATAAAGAATAGTATATAAATTGTTAGATTCTGGTAGTATTTTTTATTTTTGTTTTTTTTTGTCCTAATGAATAATGTAGTGCATTTAAATAAATTATGTAGATCAAATCACTGAAACTTCTTAATATTTTCGTCAATAAACAAAAAATGTGTCTACTAGACAAGAGAGTACTTTTTTTTTAATGTTGGTAAACACGTTTAAGTATACCACCTGTAGACATACAGGTGGTTACGTGGGACTCACCGGCTCGAAAAGCCAGTACTACTCACTAAAACCCAACAAAACTTCCCACTTGCTAACCTAACTAGTCCAGGCTAGTTCTAAACCATATTAAATGAAGGCACGGGCTTAGTCATGGAACTAAACTATTTTTATAATCATTAACCTGTCAGACAGGCATGTATTGTATCTTAATATATAAAATTCTCGTGTCACAGTGTTTGTAACAAAACTCCTCCGAAACTGCTTGACCGATTCTTATAAAATTTTGTGTG